CGAATGGCAGTAGGAACGGCTTCTGCTAAGAGAATAGGAACTGTGCTGGATATCATTCCCATAGAAATACCCAACATCAATCTACCAACCAATAACATTGCCCAAGAAGGAGCCAAAGCTTCCCATAATGCTGATCCTACTGACCATACTCCAGCAATCAGCAAAGTACCTCTTCTACCGATCTTATCATTGAGAATAATAGCCGCCATAGAGCCCACCAATGCACCGAGAGTAGTAGCGGAAGTAGTTAAACCCAATAGATTGGTCTTATTGGCTATCTTGAATTTGTACATGAACTGTATTTCAGCACCGCTCACTAGCGATATGTCAACTCCTACTATAAAAGCACCTAAAGCTGCGAAAGCAACCAGAATGAATAGTCTAGGAGTTTGTTTCCAAGGATGCAGTCTTTCCTCCTCGGTTAGAATTTCATCTTCTAAGGAACTCACATCCTTCAGTTGTTCTTCAAAGTCTTCCAAGTTCATTCCTTCTATGTTTTGTAAAACATTCGCTTCATCATTGCCGCCGCCTTTTGGTTTATAACTCTCTGCTGCAGCAGCTTCGATAGTTTCAACACCTACTTTATCTCTATTGCTTGTCATTCTCAAACAATAATTTCAAGAATCAACTTACATTTACAACTTTCCTTTTAAATCAACTAGTAGAGATTTCTAGAATTCTTTTTCACTTGCACTCAAGAATTCCCCTTTCCACATCGAAAGGGAAGTCCTGTTGACGGATTTCTAGAAATGAAGATGTTCTCCCTTCATCGGTGGCCGAATGAAAATCAGTTCGTCATCTTCTCTTGCAAGAGATTTTTCCAAGGCGGCGGCGTTGGAATTGGTCGAATGGCTCTTACACACACACACACACACACACATACATATATATATATATATATTGAATAGCTCTATGAAATATCAAGAGTGTCATGCTACCTTAGTTGCACCGTATCGTTGTGTAATTTGGCTGAATGGCAAGAAAGTTTCTTCTCCAACGTGAATAGAGGTTGCGAGAAACAAAGAAAGCAATAAAGTGGACAATAGCAAAACTAGTCGAGAGTAACCATTTCGTGATAGACACTATATCGTTTTGCTTTTGAACAACACAGTTGAGAATATCGCAAGATATTACTTTGAAATGGCTCCCTATTCTATGGTTGAAAAGGCAGTCATCTTTAGGGCATTAGGATCATTATCCAAGGTCTTCAAGTAGAAAAATAAAGTTGAAGATTACCACGGACAATTGTATTATCTTGCTGTGATAAAAGATGTTGCATTGAATGGAAATATACGATAGGAAACAATGGTTGTATCGATAGTGCTTGAAAATTTTGTATTTTCATATTCTATACGACACATGATACAAATAGGATCCACAACAATGGTATATAAAAAGTTGAAAATATCGTGGGCGGGAAGCAAAAAATTCCCATCGACTGAGGTTTCAAACCGGCTATGTTGCCAACTTTAGCAATGGGACAAACAAAGCCAAAGAAAGAAATAGTAGAACAGATTTTAGAAGTATGCACTGTATCCGAGGAAGAAGCAATAGACGCTCTTGCTGCGTGTAACCAGGACTTGGAACTTGCAATAGAAAGACTTTTGGCAGGTGACGCTGGAGTGTGTTGATCGGCTTTCTGCTCAATATTTTATGTTTAGGAAAAGAATATAGCTGGCAAAAGGTTTCTAAGAGGGATCGTTGTTTCACATACTTTACTACGAATCAGTTGAATAATGGGAATTGTGCAAAAGAACCAGAAAAGTTCTCAAAAACCAACAAAAGGCCCAACAAGGCAGAGAAGCATAATCTTAAGCGACAAGAAGGAAGATTCACAGGCTATTCACATGTTCTGAATGATCAGTCGAGAATAGAGAAACCCATAGACAAGCGGCTTGTTCCACTGAAAGAAGACTGCTATAATAACAGTATCCCAAACTCCTCTAAACATCAAAACAAAGCTAACAAAAGAATATGGAGAAGGAAAGAGAAAGTTGTAGACAGAGTGAACACTTGTAATGAAAAATATGTGAACTCGGAAACAGACGATAGCAATGGAAATAACTGGAACAAAGGCATCATTCATTTGTTGGACTCTCCTAGTTTTAAAAGAAGAGAATTATATTGGAAAGCCAGTCCGAAAGAAGAATTAGATAAAAGCAAACAATGCCATGAAGCCTCATCAAATAGTAGGAGCCATATACAGTATTCCAGGCGGGATAAACACATCAGGGACTGCAAGGATAGACTTTGTCCCACGTATTTTGTAGAGAATCATGTCTCTTGTAAGTCTGCTACAGAAAATGCCATGGACAACTCCATGCAAAAGTTGGAATGGAGTGAAGATTCAAGTTGTAGAGAGCTACGAATAAGATTTGGCTCTCTAACAGTGGTCTCACCCCTGAGATGTTTTACTCATGTAAACGAAAATAATGGCAATGTCGTAGGATCTGTTCATTTCCAGTCAGGGAAGGTGGAAGGATCACTTATGAAATCATATCGCCCAGCTGATATTTCATTGCGTAAAGATTTCCATATTGATTCGTGGAACGAGTTTGAAGGAGCCAAATTTTCTAATACAGGCAATTCATTTACTAATACTTTTGATCAACATGAAGCAGAATATCCACGCATTCCATGTCAGTTCCCCGACTTAAAGTCTCAGGATGAGATACTTAACATTCCAGAGGTTCCAAAACTGGGTCAAGAAATGGAAGTGGATGGAGCTACGATTGTTTATCACGAACCTCAAATGAAAAACCATTTGACTAGAGAAACTTTACAGAATATTTCTCGTAATGGAATGATTCCTTCTTCTGCGTCATATCCATCCAATCTTCCTTCCATCACAAAGAATTCTTTAGAGACATCAAACAAGGTTCCAATATCGTTATTGCCTCGAGACATGGACCGAACTTTCTTCCAATCTTTTAACCATTCAAGGTTTCCTGTTGTGAACAATGAGCCATCCTTTGGTTTTCATATGCCAACTTATCGAGAGAAAATATCATTTTTGAAACAAAATGACATGCAAGAACAAAGTTATACTGGAGATGATGAATGGCTCCGGTCATTATGCAAAGAGAATGACAAAGAGACCAATCAACAATATCTGTGGGAGCAACTACTTGTTGGAAGGCTTTCTCCAGTTCAACAGCTGCATCACCAATACCCTAATCAAAATAGACATGTTTTGGAAAAGCACTGGAAATGAATCATGTATAAATACATATCAAGTATTTTCAAAATCATATTGTGCTCTGGACTTGTAATAGATTTTATTGAACAACGGACTGACGCAATTTGAAACAACAACAATGCCCGAACTGACGACTTGAGCTAACAAATAATAATATATCAGCTGAAAAAGTTATCATCATACTCTGTTCTTCTGTGATTCTTCAGACTCATCCAAGTCCTTGGTAGCCTCAAAGGTTTCTTGGGTCAGCTCCTTATCGACATAGGATAAGTCGATTTCCTCCAAGAGAACAGAAGGGTCCTGGTCAGAATCATAGTTTGGGTCGTTTTTATCTAGAAAACTTTTTCCATCTTGAACCCACATGGAACCCCATACTCCTTTACCTTACAAAAGGCAAAAATGAGTTCCCATCCAAGAACTACCAACCAGAAACTTACCACCTGCACCACCTTTTTTTGGAAGCCCTCTTCCAACCGCTAGAGTAGTTAGTTATAAAAGCAATGATGATAGAACTCTACAACTCACCACTGTGTCTATTATATAGTCTTTTAGTAGGAGAAGGAGGCGAGCGCCCTTGTATTTTAGGAGAACGTATTTTGAGGTGTCCATTTGGAGACTGCATGAGAATCTCAAATTGTGGGAAAATCAAAAATGAAGGAATGTCAAGATGGATGGATCATCTTATTGGGCACAACCATATGTGCA